CTAGCGAGTTTCAGCGGTATTTGAAAAGCACTGTGAGCCGAAACGTATTTTAACAGTCCGTGTTTTTGGCCATATGATAATTTTCTTTAATTTCTAGAGTCACAAACAATAAGCATGAATCGGAATATAGTTAAAATAAAAGCATATAACGAAGGAGCAATTACATTGTAAAAAAATTATAACAAGGGAGGGATTCACCCATTACCCCCGTCCCTCTCGACGGGCCTGACTGGGACTATCCGTATATTTGGTTATGCGCTCGGATATTCGTATATACAGATAAATCAGGATATCCGTTATTTTATTTAATCAGACTTTTGATTATCAGGACATTCAAAAAATCCGGATAGAACTCCCATCCCTAAGACATGCATACACTTGTATCTTGACAATCATTCACTTTCGAATGTTTTTCATGTTTAAAACGATTTCAAACCGATTTCATGACCTACTACTTTAGAAATTTATGCATATCGTTTATGTATATGGTTTATTAATATATAGTTGTATGAAATTTTGTTTTATTAACAAATTTGTTAAGGTTGGGGCACGTCAAAACGTTATCTTAATAAGATTATATTTTGAGGTTTTTATTAAATCTTATAAACGCTACTTTTAATTGTTATGGCGTTAAAATTTAAGGTAAAAAATCCATATTTTAATTTCCCCACCTTAAGTAGCTGTTAGACGTGGCAAGTGCAAGTACAAGTCCTTTTCAAAAGTCTGTCAAACTCAAGAATTTCCAAAAGAGATTGCAAGAGCAGTTAGACCTTGTATGTAAAGTGACTTTCGAAAGCACATTTTCTTTCTGAAAATCAAACTTTCGGATACTACTTTTTGTCTGTTTACACGGTGAATGCAGACAAGCCCACTTTCAACTATGTTACCAGACATATTTATGCTTATAACAAAATTAATGACCTGAACCATTTGCTAAACTTTCTAAAATGTGCACAAAACAGTCACAAAATATATAATACATTAATACTTAAATACTCTGTTTCAGTAGAATAAATTAATTACACATATTTTTCATATTTTATTCAATAGTTTTATAATTTTATACAAATTTGCAAAAAACGCATCACGCGGCAACAGTTGATTGGTTTGACAGCACTTGCAGCAAAAATTATAATTGCTAGTGCAGCACGAGCAAGTTGAAATTATTTCTCAAAAGAGATTTGCATAATTTCAGTTGCAGTTACACCTTGCAATTTTTATTTCCGAAAGTGATTTCTGCACATCTGCAAAAACGACTTTCAGGCTGGTTACACGGGAAAGTAGACTTTCTATTTCGCATTTTTACAGCAAAACGCGTAGAAAAAGCGCTTGCATTGCCACGTTTAACCGCGCCTTTACTTTGCATGTTACTCGCTCATAGTAAAATTGAGAACGAAAAGTAAATCATGTGCTTTTAGAAACAGTGGTACATAAATAAAAATGTTAAAAGTGTACATTCATCTAAGGATATAATAAACTAATGTCCTACCTGTTCAAGAAATCCATGAAAGTTAGCGATTTAATAAAAACAAGTAAGGGCCGTGATGTCTTCAGCTATGCCGAAGGTTTCATACCTTTCATGAACGCAAAAAAAAAATTAACTTCGATCTATCATCTACTGCATTTTTAATACGTTGTTTGGGAGCAACACATTATATTTACTAAATTGATTTTCACTGTGAACTTTTTATTTATGAAAAGCAAATATGTAGGGACAAAAGTGTTTGACTACATAGATGGAGGAGTTCTATAACCAAAACTGATATCTAATCTGGAGGTCGGCAAAACTGACTTTGCGAGTGTATTGGTGAGCACAGAGTAATCGTACTGCACAGTGGTGAAACGAGTAAAATTTCAACTATGAATAATTAATACTGTTGTTCTTCACTATGATACATATACGTATAAAATTATAACTTATATATTATATGCAGGGCCGAAAAGTTTAAGCATTTGCCTGGAATTGCTTATTTTGCTTTTCAGGGTTTTCAAGCCTTATTTTAACGATCATGCTTATTTCAATGTACGGACCTTTTAAGTAAACGGTCAAGAAATAAATTGCGACTATTTCATGTGTATGAATAGTAGTGTCCAAGGAGTTTTGACATCTGACATTTTACTGCCAGCTGTCTCATTTTCTGCTTACGAAATAATGGATCGGGCATATATTTCTGTTGAAAACAACAACAACTTTAGCAAACCATACTTAATAGAAAGCGTAACAAATTTCTAAAGAACTTCGTACTTATTAAGAAAATTTGACTCAATAAATTTGCATGAATTAATGAAATTAAGGTTTCAATAAATGCATCAATTTCATGGTGCGACGAGCTAATTTCCTAGGAGACAAAGGAATATTTTCAATAACAACATCATGCATGCAATTGCTTCAAAATTTCTTTGATATAGATGCTATCTGAAAAACGTCTTCCTTTACAAACAATATTTAAAGTAATTAAGTTTGCAAACGTCTTTTTTAATGAAGTTTGTTTATGTAAAGTCATTTGTAACAACCAAGAATATCATCGTTTTATTTATAGTATTCAGCATATTGTATTTAATTGTAGATATAATTTAGCAAAACTCAACGAAGAAAAGGCACATGCAATTCACAGATGTATAGATACAAATTCTTTTACTACTGAGTCAACTTCAACATCAAGATTGTGATGAATATTGAGACAACCTAGCCCATTGTGTGCTCGCTCTATGCCCATGCCTGTACATTAGCCTGCGCCTGAGTTGTATGGAGAAAATTTTTTGTTAATCTACAAAGCAAGATTCCCCCTAGAAATGTTCCTTTGGTAATAAAAACGCGCCCTGTGAAAAAAAATTTTGAAATCGGACAACGGAAAGACGCCATATTTGAGACGCCATGTTGAATTTCTCAAAAGGACTCACGGCTTTTTCCAAAAAAAACTCAATAACTTTAAAAGTTGAGGAGGTTTAAAAATAGGTCAGCCATATTTGACGAGGGGGGGGGGGCAAAAATACATCAAGCGCCATTAAAATATATGTTAAATTTTCCACTTATGACTTATTGAAAATTTTGGCCACTTTGTGAAAAATTCCATGAATTTGCTGAATTAGGGCCTTTGAGGCACGTCTTTCCGTTATCCGATTTTAAAACTTTTCCGCAGCTCCCATTTTTATGACCAAACCTTTCTGCGTGGTCTTGCTTTGTAGGACAAAGTTGCAAAACAAGGAGCTGACTACTGCACATGCGTGATGATATTTACTGAATTATTTTGAAAACTATAATAGAGTTGGGATACTATCGATAGTATCGATAGTATCGATAGTTGAAAACTGTCGCTCGAAAAAATCGATGTCGGTTTTAGCAAGACTTCACAATGTCTCTTCTTTACATCTCTTTACATTACATAAATTTTTTTTTATGCAAAAAATTCACAACACAGTCGGCAAAACTATAAGCTTACACTGAGTTATAGTAACATTTAATAAGCTATAAAACTGCTTACACAAAATAGAAATTCGAATTAAAAAGCTTGAATTTTTAATTATTTTGTAGCTTTTTATGTTTTGTACAAAATTTAGTAGACACTAAATAAACAAAAAATAGTCAAAACTGCTAGAAAATGTTGTAGTGCTATTAGTTTGAGCAGTGTTATATTCGTTTTCTTATAATATGGTAAAATGTTAATGATTTCCCTTGTCCGGATTTTGATATGCACCTCCGTATTTGATCTCAGTGGAACTTTTATAAGAATGAGTTGTCAATTTAGACGAATATCTTTTATTTTGTTTGTTTTGTAGTATTATAAATGTACTTTTATAGACAATTTCACTTCTTTGCACTTCAAAAGGGACAAACACAATCCGAATTTAATTTTGCCATATAAAAAATAAATTCAGATTTTGCCTGTCTCTATTCAAGGGGATGAAAGGGTATGTATGTATATAAGTTATATAATTCAGGCGCATAAATTAATACGTTTATTTTATAATTATAAGAAGTTCTTTTTGATGCACTCAAATTTAAAAAATTTATATAATCTCTTTAATTTACAAAGTAATTTATAAATTTTATACATTTATTAATTATTTAATTTTCTAGAAATTGAGCGTTTTAATTCAATACCTTTCACGACGATAGTACTATCGATACTATCGATGTTTTCAACTATCGTTTCGAAAACTATCGAGTAGCGGTACTATCGATAGTATCCCAGCTCTAAACTATAACTAAATAGGGGAGCGAAGAGTGTTGTAGACCACACAAAGAATTTTTATAGAAAAAACGGAAATCTGATTTGTGGTCATTTTTAACAAAAAAAAATTAAAAAAAAAAATTTTGGTACGGCAAATGTTAAAGCTGTTTTTGATAGATTTTTCTTTGTGGTGATTTCGAATCCGTAGGCATAAAGTTTCCATCAGCTCCAGATTTTGAAAAAACGATGTTAAATGTAAAAAAATCGCGGTTTATGGCAATATTTTAGAAGCTCTAGCAAGGAAACAAAAGGTGATATAACCTTCCTGGCTTAAATTAAACCTAGATCTCTTGACTACTATCTCTGAAAAGAGATCTTAAAATATTTTTTAACCATTATTATCTTAAACTAAATGATGCCTATTTACCTCCACAGGGGGGGGGGGGGGGGGGGTCTAAAATTTTTTATCATGAATAATCAATTGTAAGCGAGCTTTTTTTTTTTTGATTAATGCATTATATAATAATAATAACGTAATATAACTTTATACACATAGAATCAGTTTAAGCTAAGAAGCGGAGGTCATAGGAACAATTAAAAATTCAGTTAAATATTAAAAGGGCCGAGTGCATTACTTTACATAAGCCGCAAAAATATGTGAATAAGCAAATGCATATGAGTTATAAGTTAATTACAAAAGTACCAAACTTAGCATGCTTTCCTAGTTAAATACTATGTTTAGAGTCTTTGTTGGTGTTATGCTTAGATATGTGTGTATGCATTTATTTACAATTTATTTAAGGCAACAAAATAAATGGAAAAAATTACCTTCGTTGTGCAAAAGCAGCATTCAAACTCCACCGGTACATCCTGTTCGAAATTATCCATTCTCTGGTTTTGCAAATTCTCGAGTGCCACCTGACGTCGCAGCTCGGCCACTTCCTATAAAATGATGAACAACGATTTGTTTTTGTTTTTCGATTTTACATAGAATTCAATATTTAATGTTGTTTGTTTTGGATATATTGTTGGATAGATGCTGGACTCAATTACAAATGGCAGGATTTAAGCTGCTTAGGTTTTGTTGGATTTGGAATGCGGAGTTAGTTGGTTTGTTTTGTTGCGGCTAGGGATGAAGGAAGTACTAGTTGCAGGCAGGATTGGGGGTTAGAGTGGAAAATTACGAATCTCAAGTGTTGAACAAAACCAAAACGTTAAGTAGGTATTTAAGTAAATATTTGCATGCCAAGTTGCACAGGTCAGTAGCGAAAAGTGTTGGCATTTGAAAAGCGTTGCAAACAAATTTCATTGTACGTACGTACGTACGTAATTGAATTAGTAAATTTTATATAAATTCAGTATTTATAACCATGCCGGCGACAAAAAAGATGGTGAGAAAGTGGTTGAGAATTGAACAAAGAAAGCGGTCATATATTTACATACATATTGTTGTTTAAAGTACAAAACCGCGTATCGTCATTCTGCAAAACCGCGTAACTGACATTTGCTGCCAAAAATTGAATTTGCCCACCACAACCTCTTGGCTCAATCCTTATCCGTTCGTCCTGAAATATACTAGCCAGAAATGCGATTGTTTTGTGAAAAAAGAGAACCATTTTGAAATATGAGTGTTTTTACTATCTAGAAAATAATTTATTCAACCTCACATATGCTGTTTTGCATTATCTTGATACGCGGTTTTGTACTTTAAACGTTAGGCATGTACGTGCATATTAAATATAATAATTATTTAAAAGCGTACAGGTGAAGCTGTGCAGCTGTGATTTTATCAAGTATATTTTGAACATAAAATATTTTTAAAAAGTATTATGGGATATTTATCTTTGCCCTTCCACCAAATATTTGTGTAAAGTGTGTAAATATACAAACGATTTTATTTGTAGTAATAAAATAGTATACATGTATAAATGTGTGAATTT